AAGCTAAAACTGCAATTTAGGTTAACTAAGTAGTCTTTAACAATTAAGAGGGTGCTTTCTGTAACTAGCACTGATCATTTACTTTCCAGCTGCTGCTAGCTTGTGACAAAAGAAGAGAGTGGGAGAGGAAGACCAATGACATACAACCTTCAGTGCCCATGCTGCTGTGACCAATCAATGTTAACATTAGTCTGCTGCGGTGAGCAAGTGAACTTTCCATTAGTGGTCAGTAAGAGGTCCACGTGCATCAAATGTGGTTTATATTAAGTCTGTGTTTTCCAATCCTATCCAAAATATTTTAGGTTGATTTAGGGGCTTTAAAAAAAATCCCATGTCAAGCCAAATGCATGCCAAACTGACCAAGATTACCACTAACAGGGACAGGGACAAGAAAATGCCTCTCTTCCAGCTCGGTTGATAAAAGATGATCCTTTACACTGTTGTACAAGTGTCACTGGGCTAATTTTTAGGCCACAACACCAAGACTACAGTAAACAACACTACACAAAGTTTCAAAAAAAGATCAGTTCTCAAAACAGTTTAGGAAGTTTTAAATGGTGCCTTTATTTTGACCTGACTCAGCAACAAGCGCAAACCCATTTTAAAAACTTTTTGATGTTAAGCTATTATTTCTAGCATCTATATCAAAACATATCTAAGTAACTGGAACAGAGCCTGCACTCATTATGCGCCTTATTATACAGCTTGTCACTAATGTCCGCTATTCTCCATGATCAGACTTGACACTAAGCTACAATGAGATTACTCAGGAAGAGGCTACAGTATATGAGACAGACATAAAAGTTTATATGCAGGCTATAATAAAGCCTGGGGAGTTCTGAAAACTGCCAGGCAGCAAGTCTACAGTTATTTTTAGTGTTAAGGGTGGGCAGGAAAAGTGCTCAGTATACCTTCCAAAATCAAATGCTAGCCACCCACCAGAATGCATTTTGTGCCCAGCTGCAATGTTTAAATGAATTACAGGTTGGTTTGCAACAGCTGCAAAAAAGCATTGGAAATAAAGACACTAAATGTTTCAGCAGCAGTGATTTCAGAGCGGTGAGGTGCAGCAGTATAAGAACTTTAATGGAAGGCACGCTGCTTGTGCACCAGACATACTGCACTAAATTCACCTGCAGAACTATGAGCTGTAAAACATTTAAGGTTCATCCAGGAAAGAGGAACATAATATCCGGCAGCTGCAAGATAAGAGAGTGCTTATTCTGACAGACAAGAATAGAAGGGCAGGCCGCAGGAACCTGTATTAAAAGGATTAGCCAATTCCCCGCCTGTTTCAAGTATCAGTACTAGAAACTGGTAAAATTAAAACAGTGAGCTAAACAGCCTCCGCTTCTTCACCGAGATCATTTGTGATCCGAGATGTGAACATTACTGAACTTTGTTGCTCAGTCAAATCTAGGATTTCCTCCTTGCCTAAATTTTACAGCTCACTTAAAAAGTGCCACACCCAACACTATTTCTTGGATTAATGTTTGAGAGACATTTCTGCTTCTGTATGAGGCACCATCCCCCCCATCGACAGGAACCCTGACAACTCAGCAGAACTATGCAGCCAACACGGGCCTTCCAACTTGGCTAGTAAACCCAGAACCACCTTGTACATAACCCAACACGTAAAAGCTCGCACGCTCTCGAAAATCCTTCATCTAGAATTCACAATTTAAAAACATGTCAATGTCTTTCTAAATCAGAAGCACCTCCGCTCCCTCCTTTATTGCAGAGCCTCAGCCTGCCTCAGACGGAGAAGGGGAATCTCTCTCGGTGGAAGTGCGAGCCTTAAGAGGAAGAGACTTCAGCACTGCACAGATTTTAAAATTTTGCGGGACTTATTCCTTCAAGTTACAGACAGGGCTCACGACTGAAACATTTTCAGTGACTGACACCCAGACAACAAAAGCAAGGAGGAAAAAAAAAAGATAGTGCCAGCTTTGCACTGCAAGATACTAGTAGAGAAAATCCCATTTTCTAGCATCTCCCTAATCAGGGATCATGTGCCAATATCCGGCTTGCATCCCATTGAAGCCGCGCTACCATTGCAGCCCAGGCTTCACCAGGAACCTAACAATTCCCATCCCCAAAGCCCCAGGTTTTTGGTGTGTGGAGGGATAACAGCTGTGAGCCTGCTCCTGCCTACAGCAGAGCTGAAAAGCTCCCCCAAATCCCCTGCCCAGGCACTCCCCGCACAGCAGCGCTCCTGCCCACCCCTCTCCTCAGACTGTGATGCAACGCGAAATGAAGAAGCGACGGGGCAGATAGGGAATCTCAGGAGCTTTTTCCTTCAGCCCTGGCAGCCCCAAACTCCGTTGGAGGAAGCCAGGGGCACAGCAAGCTGCTGTGCAGGGGCCGACACACCCAGACCCCAACCCAGCCCTAGGTCCCATCAGGGGCACGTGCAAGGACACTTGGGGTCCTGTCAGGAGTACATGCAAGCTGTGCGTGTCCATGTGTGCACTTGGGGTCCCAACAGGAGCACATGAAAGCTGTGTCTTGGGGTCCCATTAGGAGCATATGCAAAGTGTGTGCGCGCGCACACCTGGGGTCCCATCAGGAGCGTGTGTGTGCGTGTGCACTTGGGGTCCTGCGAGGAGTGCATGCAACCTGTGCGCGTGCTTGTCCCTCGCTCCTCGCCTGCCCCACGCGCGGGGCCCAGGGGCTGCGGCGCCGATGAGCCCCCTCAGCGCGGCGAAGGGCCGCGCCGCCGCCTCGCGCCCAACGGTCG